AACATATCTACTATATTAACTATATTAAACATATCTACTATATTAACTATATTAAACATATCTACTATATTAACTATATTAAATATATTAAACATGTTAAATATATTTGACATTATCGACATTTGTACTTCATTACACATTTGTAGATCTATGATCGTCAAGATCATCACCCGGTTACAATATTTATATTTTAATTAAAAAAATAAAGCAAAAATTTATTAAATATAAAATTTTCTATTGATTACATTTATAGATAAATAGTTTTTTGCATTTCTTTGATGATCTTAAATTCAGTATTTTGTTGATATAAATTAGTCAAGAATGTGATGAACTGAAATAATACAGTTTTGTAATAACAGATAGAATTTAGTGTTTTACAATTCAACATTATATGTTTCATCACTTTTAATACTAAACTTATACTAAATATTCATTGAATTTATATATTTATATAAAATAAAGTCTTTCAATTACTAAAAATATGGTAGTAAAAAAAACTAAAGAACTTGCATAAACTGATAAATATCATGAAAAATATTCTAATATTTCTTTTTTTAAATTTTTAAATAAATGGATAGACTGTTTTATGAGCTATTATGATCTTTCAAATTATTGAAAAACAACAATATCTCAATATTTACCAGAAAACTTACTTGAAAAACATTAAAGTATTTTGAGTTTTATTCTTTATAAAAGAATACAATATGATTACCTATTTCAACTTATTGAAAATATGGATGAAACATCTGTATCCTTTTGATTTAATTAATTCATATACTTTAAAAAAATACAGTTCTAATACTATTAGTATTAAAACTACTGAACATAAAAGAAGTACATTTACAGTTATTTTAGATTATATGGCTGACAGATCAAAATTGCCATCTGTTATTATTTTAAATTAAAGAATATATTTAAAGAAATATTTTTTAATAGTATATTTGTAAGGATAAATACAAAAGAGTAGGTTAATGAAAATAAAATGATGTGGTGAGTAGTAATTCTAATTTACTTTTTGTCTTAGATTCTTTTTATGATCATTTAATTAACTCTATTAAACAAAAATTAATAAAAAGTAATTAATATAGCAGTAATTCCTAATAAGTTAACATCTAAGTTACAACCTTTTGATGTATTAATTAACAAAAGCTTTAAATTTAATGTAAGTATTATTAATTAATTTTTATTTATTTTTAGATATATTATTATATAAATTAAAAGAATGTTTAATTTAATAGATTTGTAAATTTTATAATTAATAGATAACAAATAAAGTTTATGAATTAACTCCATCTAGACGTATTAAAAACCTTCATATTTTTGGTATGTTTATAGGTAAAGATGCATAGGAAAAAATTAATACAAGTTTAATTCATAGATCATTTAAATATTATAGTATTTTAGTTAAACTGATAGTTTTGAAGATGATATGATTTATATTATAATAGTCTTATGATAAATAAAGAAAATAATAAGTTAATTAAAAATAATGAATTTTAAGAGGAGGATTTTAATAATTAGAATGAAATTAATTTTGCTAATGTTTAAATAAATAATAAAGTTTGAATAAAATTTTATATTTGATAAATAAATATCATAATGATATGTAATCACATAATTTATATAGTTTTATAATTATTTCTAATTAAAAATAAAACATTTATGTAAACTATCTAGGTCTTTTATAAAATTTTAACCTAAAACCTTAAAAGGATATTTTACATAAAGAAGTTATTTAGTCAGTACTCTACAGTATATATAATATCAAATTTTATATAATTATTATATAAGAGAAGACATAGATGATGATGATCAAAAGGATGAAGTCAATCCTTAGGAAATCATATATGTCTTATAAGTCATCTATGTCATCTATGGCATATATTTCTTTTATACAATATATTTTATTTATTTATTTTATTTTATTTATCTTATATATTAATTATATTATATTTATTTCATATATTTTATTTATTTTTTTTATATCTTTGATAACTTTATGTATTTCATTTTATATAAATAGAGGATATTTTCTTTTAATTTAGTGGTGTGTTTAATAAGTAGTTTTATAAAATAGTTTAATTTAATTCCCTTAACATATTTGTAAAGTACAGAGCATCGACTGAGGCAGTACTCTATTGTTATAGTTATTAAATAAACTGTTAATTAATCAACACTCTTTTAAATCTAATTATTAAATAAACCTTCTACTTATCACCCATAAATATTGCTTCGCTTAACACTCATAAGTATCTCAAAGAACTGACTATAACATAATAAATAAGAAATAAAATATTAAAATAATATACTTATTATTTAATTTATATGATACTAAAATTTATTTATATACAAAATATAAAAATGCTTTAGCAAAAAGAATAATATTATAATGTGAATTAATAGTAAAAAGATATAATTTATTTAATACTTTATATTTGATAATGATAATAATACATGATATATAATTGATGACAACAATAATACATGATAGAAAAAAATAATATTTTGAAATAAAACAAAAGAATAAAAAAATAGAATAAAAAAAATAACTAATAAAAAGATATAATAAAAAATTAGAATAAAAGAAAATAATAATGAAAAAAAAAGAATAATTATTAAAATAGGGAGAAGAATATTTGAAAAGAACTAAAAAAAGGAAAATAAGAAAATAAAATTTAAAAAATACAGAAATAATGAAGAGGAAAAAGAATATTAAAGAATTAAATTTTAGAAAACAAAATGAAAAAAATAATGAAAAATGAAAAAAAAATTTAATAAAACACTAAGAAGAAGATTTTTACTGAGAAAAATATTAATGAAGATTATGAGAATTGATTTTTGGACAAATAAAATTAAAACTATTGAATTCATAAAATGTTATACATTTATAAGATATAAGTTTGATGATTATAATATGAAAGCTAAATTAGTAAAACTATATGATTTATATAATCTACTATTATATTTTGGTAAAGCTTTTTAATTAATTTAAAACTATTATCATATTTGAATTTAATATATTCAGATATCATAAAAATTAACTCAATGATTTTATAATAATTACAAATCACTAAATATATAGTAGATAAAATCAAATAATAGCATTATTTTTATTTTGATCACCTGTATTATCATAAGTAAAGTTACTTATCTAAACTCATTTTGGATTTAGCAAAACATTTAAACTTTAATTTCATTAATTTTTAATAAGATTTTGATATAATTTTGCATTTTTGTAAGCTTTAATATAGTTTTATCTTTTCTAAAATTTTGCAGATTTTTTAATATAATTTTGCTAAATTTTACTTTTTATCATTTAGATGACTTGCAAAACCTCTAGGTTTTACCTAGTAATCTTAATCACAAGAATTATTAAATGTTTTTCAACTTTATTTAATCTTTTCATTCTATTAAAAATTATACTTAGTGTATAATTAGAGTCTTTGTCTATTATTTATTTTCATCAAGAATGTAATTAATTTGTTTATATATTGCTTCAACTTAAATACCAAATAAATGTATTTTGCATGAATTGAAATAGTAAATTTTACTTACCTGTTGATTTGAATGTAAAACATGAACAATTTGTACTCAATTATAACTGTAGCGAACAGTAGCATTAACACTATAATAATCAACTTCATTTCCCATTATAAGATAATTTTCATTTACCAATTTTCTTTTTTCTGCTGCTAATTTTGTATTTGATTATAATAATTTCTTTCTAACTTAGCCATAGCTAGATATTCTTTGTATTTTGTTAGTAAATCTTTTACTACTTCTTCCTTATGGAATTATAATGTAAGCCATTCTAAAAATGTTGGGCATGTATTACACAAATCTGTTCCTAAACTCATAATTTAAATATAAAATATATTTTTTAACGAATTTGACACGGAATTGTGATACGGGATTACTAAAAACGTAGATATGCACAATAAGTATTTTCGTTTTTTATTGGTCAATTATAAATAACGTGATATGAATCTTGCAACAAATTCACGTGATTGTCAAAATTAAAACATTTGTGGTTTTTTTAAAAAATTAATAGATAAACCAAATATTATCGCCTATGGCAATTCCAAAGATTTATTATAATCATATTGGATTTGTAAAATTAAATAATAATAAATTAACGAAACTTCATCTTGATCAAAAATTTCTGCATAATTTGAGCTTCATCGTAGACAATATATTCATTGTAAAAAAGAAATTTATCACGATGTTTTTCTTGTAATTTTCCGCTTGGTACAATGCAGCCATTATTCAGCTTAATGAAACTATTCATATCGGGAACATTCTTTCCACAACCCTTAACAGAATGAAAATTTGCGTTCTTTGCTTTTATTCCTGCATCATAGTCGGCGGAGTTTAACTCAAGCATATTTCCCAAAGCAACTTCGTTGAGAAGCATGAGGCCAATGTTATCATTGCTAGTATTATGAACGTATTGAGCAGATTTTGATACGGAATCTGCGAAATAAACTCCTTTCCCAAACATATAACCGGTTACAGGAGCACTCGGAGGCGCAATGCGTAATCCTTGGCTTAAGATGCCAGCAAAATTAGTTTTACGGCTTCCGTGCCATAATAAAGCTCGGTTTTGCAATTTGGAATATGGCTCGAATCTTTCTCTTTCACCTTGACGTTCCAAATCAAACACTTCCAGAACTTCAAGTTTAAAGTAATTATGTGTAGCTCCATGTGTATTCTTAACATAATCGACCACCATTTTGAATTCTTTAGAATTATGATCCAAAGGCTCCATTCTTCCTAATTTAAGAGATTTGTAATGAGCATCCAATGGATTGATGGTTTCATCACTTCCTTTAATCAAAGTAGAAGCGATTTCAATTTCTCCCAAGGTTTCAACCATATCCAATTTAGTTTTGAGTAAATTTATGTTATTAATGATAGGTGGTTTTCGCATGCCAAATGAGTGTGGAATTACAGTGTAAAATTCATTAGACAATTCCTCCAGACTTTCGGTAGAATTTCCCATAAACACGGCTTCTATTCGTTTAAGTACACTGTATCCTTGGTTAATAGTACTTTTTGCAATTTTACCCAAAGGTAATTTTGCAGCATCTAAAATATTGAGATAGGAAAGTGTTCATTAAGAATTTAAATTAAAATATTGATTTATAATTAATACTTACCATATTCTAATTCTTTCATTGACTCTTTCCATTGATTAACGTCTATATTTAGAAAATTTAATAAATTAGTGACAAATAACCTACTATATTAATATAATTTGACTTTGAAACTGACCAAATATCATTTTCATGATATCTTGAACTTTTGGATGAAGATTAGATTCTGAAATAGGTATAGGTTCTTCCTTTTCTTTATTCTTAGCTTTCTTTTTATTTTGTCCATCGTCGTTTTTATCCTCATCATCAGAGGCATAGTCGCGTCTCAAAAAAGTATATTTACTATTCTTTGGAACAAAATTAGAGATGTCCTGGCATACGGTAGACCAATCATTACCAGTCTTTTCTTTAAATTTTTTTGAGAATTCAAATTTTGCACTACCCAATATTGTTGGACCATAAGTAGTTGATTGACCTTTAGAACCATATCCTACTCTTCCCCATCTGCAAAACACGTAGTAATCATCAAGAGAATCGGTTTGTAAAAGTTGAATTACAAAAAATTTATTGTTGTTATTACCAATATTAGTTAAGTTAAGAAGGGCATCCCAAATAGCTTCATCATCAGAATAAACGTGTACAGAATTCTTCATAAAGAATTTTTCATCAACAGGTGCTTGACCCTTAATCACAACTTTAACCATCCTTTTCTCCTCGACAATTTGTGTAGCCGCAACTTTGTCACTCTGATCGCTATTACCCTGATCTTGATTATTAATAGAACCTTTAGTAGTTTTATCAGTTATATTCCCTTTTCTCTTTTTCGAAGAAGTCCCAGCTGTAGTCGTAATTATCGAGGTCGTAGAGATAGCAGTTGTTGTAGTATCAACTGTGGTTGAATTCTGAGTCATATCATTATCATTATCATTTTTAGCGGTGCGTCTACGTTTTCGCGAAGGCCTGACATCATCAACTTGATCATTTCCGTCATCATCCTTATTACGTTTTCCAGTTGCAGTAGAGTTCTCATCCGCGTTTTCCATATCAATATCCTCAGTATCATCTGATGGAACATAATCTGATACATCCAATTTTACATTTTTTTCAATAGAATCTTCAACCCATTTCCAAGTCACAATTGATACTCGATCAGCAAATTTATTTTTAGCAAGGAAGACCTTAGAATTTCCCCTTTTATAGTCGTCTTCATTGATTATTAAATGAGTAGATTTTTTGGATAAATTTTGAGCAACTTTTCCGCCATGCTTATTAATAATGGAAGTGAGGTGCGTATGGTTACCTATAGTAAACACACCAGCAAGTGTAATAAAACAATCGTCAAAAATAGAAGACATATGAAGCCACGTAATTATTTGTAAAAATAGAAAAAAAAAACATAAACAACACGTTTTTTTTTTGATAGAAATCAGAGCACTTTTATACTTTTTATTTGAAAAAAAGAAATGCTTTGTGTGTGGGAGTGGGAATTTGTCATTGATAAACAATCAAATGTAACGTTGGGGAATTGGGGGCAATTATGACGCACTCCTACATAACGGGAAGTTTTTGATTTGTATAATCTATATACCGCAGCAAATTTTTGCTTATTAATACAGTTGCCAATAATTGCTTAGTAGACTCAAAAATCGTAACTGAAAATTATCAAACTAAACTGCTTAAAATAGTATAAAGAAAAATTGAGCAGAGGAATAGAAATAAGTAGTATGAACAGATAAATCAAAATTCT